CTTGATTATAGCAACTCGAGCAATACCTAGTATGTCAATATTTATGTGTTCCATTTCCTCCTTAACAATATCTAATTTTCCTACATTCATGGTTCTCACATTCCATGTTCCTATCGCTAGTGTGTGCTTACAACTGTTCCTCTTCTTTTGTATTTCCGTATTCAATTGCCCTTCCTATCATTTCTACGTGTGTTCTGTTGTACATAGGGTTTTTAGAGGCCTGCTATTTTGGAAATGGATGGCCAATCCTTTTTCCTAGTGTGTGTCTATCTGAATGTTCAGTTTTATAGAAATATCCAACAGATGAGCATTTAACAGAAAAGCTGAAAATATATCCCTTATTGTGGAATTAACTATTAGTTTCAGTGTTGTCCCTGCCCTTGACAGAGTTGCCCTGACCCACTTATTTCTTTGCTCCACCATCCATCAAGATACCCCTCCACTTCTACCCACTCCTTTCAACATTTATTTCCCATTGTCTAGCCCTTGATCTGATTCATATATCCCTTTTCATATATCCTTTTTAAACAGATCTCTCCCTCATGTGTTTCAATATAATATACATCATTTCTTTCCTCCTTTTCTGTCTTCCCTCATTTTTAAAAATAAAAGTATATAAAATAATAATAAATAATTTAAAAATAATAAAAGTCTAGTCAAAATGAAGATACTAAAAATAGCAATTCATTGTTGTCTCATGATCAGTTTTTGTTTTGTTTCTTTACATTTTACTTCATGAGATAGTCTCTAAGACAAATGATGTATTTGATCCTAACGTGCACCTTCAGTCCTTATAATGGATCCAGTCATGGAGGCAAACAAAGAATTTCCAGTAGAAACTCACAGGCAATCTCTGTCCCCAACTGTCCCCATGTAGACCGATCATTCCTGAGAATCTCAACCCCTTGCTCTCTACTGAAGGAGGTTTGACAGTGGGAAAGGAGGCAGAAACTGAAGAATGTGTATATGCAAATCACTGAAGGATGTGTATATGCAAATCAACCTTTTAAAAAAGTGGAAGGGGATGGAAAAAAAGGTATTATATAAATGAACATTGGATTTTTGTAGATTTAGAAAGCGTGTGATTCTTCCTTTGGTCACTGCTTGATCGGAAGAACTGAAAGGCAAGGTTTGCCCTGCTTGCTAAAAGTAGAATCTGAGAGTGGGTATTGGAGCTTGGTGGAGGAGAAAGATTCAGCCCCACCCCGTACTCTGAGGAGAGCTACATTTGAAGGGATTTGTAGAGCCACCTTGGACTTTCCATTGAAGAGATTCACATTTGAAAGAAGGGTAAGCAGAAAAGGAGAGAAGGAAAAAAGAAAAAAAGGGAAGGAAGAGGCTGTTTTTGTAAAACTGGGTCAAATTGTTTGGCTTCTGAGGCAGGAAAAAGCTGGTGCCCCTCAGAGCCCTCTGCCAGGACCTGAGCTTGCAGGGAGTTGGGGAGTATGCTTACTCGTAGTGATCACCTGGCTCCACAGGAATGGAAGTGGGAGGAATGCAACAATGGAGAACAGGCTGAGCTTGGACGAGTTCCTTCAGCGCTGTCCACCTAGCCTGCACAGATGCACAGGGAAGCGATTTGGCTTGAGGAGCAGGGATTCATGAGGCTTGTTGGCATGGCCCTGTGGGTGGGCTATGGCTGAGTAAAGAGACCAATATGTCTGGAACTCAGGGAGAAATGTGGCTCCTGAGTTTGAGGCTGATGCCCATTTGAACCTAGTCACAGATGGTTGGGGATGAGTTGACCAGAAGCCAAGCAGATGAAGAGAAGTTGATCTAGGCAGTGAGCTAGGATTGGCTGCTGCACTGTCCACCTACTCTGGACTGGACTTTGTTGTGGATGCAGGTGTCCAAAGTTTCCAAGTTGACTAGAAGCTTCTTTGGCAAAAGGGATCTGCTTGTTCTCTCAGAGTCCTGATTTGGTAGTGATGAAACACTCAGAAATTGGCTATCGACAGAGAGAAAACAGGACATGAGGCATGAAGTAGC